CGGGGGCCTTGTGTGTTGGGTTAGGGGTCATTCATGTTGGGTCATGCAATTTGCATCAGGGGCCTTGTGTGTTGGGTCATGCATGTTGGGTCAGGGGTCATGCATGTTGGGTCATGCAATTTGTATCAGGGGCCTTGTGTGTTGGGTTAGGGGTCATTCATGTTGGGTCATGCAATTTGCATCAGGGGCCTTGGGCCTTGTGTGTTGGGTTAGGGGTCATTCATGTTGGGTCATGCAATTTGCATCAGGGGTCATTCATGTTGGGTTAGGGGTCATTCATGTTGGTTAGGGGACTTGCGTGTTGGGTCAGGGGTCATGCATGTTGGGTCATGCAATTTGCATCAGGGGCCATTCATGTTGGGTCATGGGTCATGCATGTTGGGTCAGGGGTCATGCATGTTGGGTCAGGGGTCATGCATGTTGGGTCATGCAATTTGCATCAGGGGTCATTCATGTTGGTTAGGGGACTTGTGTGTTGGGTCAGGGGTCATGCATGTTGGGTCATGCAATTTGCATCAGGGGCCATTCATGTTGGGTTAGGGGTAATGCATGTTGGGTCAGGGGGCCTTGCATGTTGGGTCATGCATGTTGGGTCAGGGGTCATGCATGTTGGTCATGCAATTTGCATCAGGGGTCATGGGTGTTGGGTCAGGGTCCATCCATGTTGGGTCAGGGGCCTTGCATGTTGGGTCATGCATGTTGGGTCAGGGGTCATGCATGTTGGGTCATGCAATTTGCATCAGGGGTCATGGGTGTTGGGTCAGGGTCCATGCATGTTGGGTCAGGAGTCATGATCAATATAATCCTGACTGTTCAAGTTGTGAGTTATCTCTAGTTTTGTTAGCACACACTTTAGTAGAAGTGGATTAGTGTTTTGTTTGATTTGTCTGCCAGACCAACAAAACTGTCATCCACATAACAAACCGCCATTTTATTTACTCAGTTGAGATCACAGTTATAGTTCTGTTCATTAGGATTATAGTTGTAGAAGAATTGGATATATTGTTAGAATTATTTTCCAGAACAATAATAAAAATGGTGATTCACATCATACTACACATTGCATGTTTATACAGTTTATGGTCAATTTGAAATGACCATATACATGTACCTTTTAGAATAATGTTTTATCAGCATTTTGATATAAATAGATTTGACATGATTGTACAAACACATGCTAGTATTAAACATATACTTATAACTCGTTCCTATCAAATATTGATGTATTGATTTTTACTAACCTAAAAAACCTTGGAGGATATCATTTTTAATGGTAATTTTAGTTGAAAAATTAAAGCAATTAATACTTTAAACTGTGTTAATTTTGCTGGACAAATTTTCGTGAATTTTCCCAGAGCCTATGAGTGTCAGTGAATTTCATGAAATTAAGCGTTCACAAATGCCTTAAAATTCTGAAATTGCAAAAATTACTAGCAGTGAAAATTAAGTGGTTTATATACATGTCATGTCATCTCATATTGTTAGGCACAAGCCTAGCAATAATATGAACATTATTAATAAGTATTAATATATCTTCATTGTGAAGTTGGTCACATTTTGAATGTTTGGTGATTCTGATCTAAGTACTGTATTTGCTCTAGTACTCTATTTTCTATTGGAAGCAAATTGTGTGACAATATTCCTATACTATTAACTAAATTTTTATGAAAGCCACTCCCTTCAGTTCTTAAAATGCATCATATTACTGTCCAAAAACTAAAAACATTATTCCAGAATAATATAAATGTAGTAAAGCATCTAAACATATAAAATTCCTGGTACATGAAATTATACAGAAATAAATAATTTGAAATAGACAACATTGTGACATTAATAATCACAGTAATAATAAATAAATATAACCCTTTTCAGAAATAAAATACTTGTATAACTATAAGTTGTATAAAAGTGATTTCCATATATATTTATTGCTCTTGTCTAGTCTGTTTTCATCCAAGCTTTTCAAGAATAGGTATTATTAGTAAAGCATCTTTGTTTTTGTGCCATCAAGGAAGTGATTTGTCATGTATGGCTTAGTATCATAAATAATGCATAACCTTGTTTTATATGTCCTGCTTCATTTTAATTTGATTTCTAGCATAATCAATTATTTTGTTTTCAATTCTACATGTTAATAATAATAGTGAATTTTAATTTATGCATTAATTTCTTATATATACCAAATTAAAATTATTTACCAAATCTTGAATTGGGATAATGATGTATTTTTACGATGTAAAGTTTGCTTGAGTATAGCAGTATACAAGTTTACGACAGTAGAAGTCACATGTGACTACTGATGTTTGCATGTCTATTGTGTATCATTTTTGTACAATACGTCACAGATGGGAAAATGTGACAAATTTGTAGATTATACAGATGGTGTGAAACCAAGCGGAATTCAGTCAGTACACTTCTCTCTATTCGTTTTTATTTCCTTTATTTTTCTAATATTTTTAATGGTGTACAGTTGCAGGTCTGGTGACCTTAAATATTTTTAAAATCAGTTGTGGGCTTCAACTTATGCCATAAAATATACACACATAATTTTTTTTCATAATTTTTCCACAAAAAAAATTGACCATGACTCAAAGCCAAAAAGATAATGTACCTATTTGGTCCTGAATTATCAAAGTGTGTATTAACAATTTGCAAAACTGTTTTGCTAAACAATTTGGCTAAACAAAAATTAAAAATATATATTTATATATTCTCACATTGTATAGAAGCATAATGTTAAATAATTAAAAAATCTGGATTTGACATATTCAAATAATAATTTTTAACAATCTTAAAATTGTATAATATTTGTATATTAATAGGTATATTAACATTTCTTGAAAATCTTGTTATTGAGAAATAATGGTTGTATTGTTAATGTGTGTTCTGTGGCGGGTGATAAATTATAGTGTTGCTGGTTAATAAGTAATTCTTTATATCTAAGGTCAACTGAAAGGTCAGTTGACTTATATTGAAATAAAAATAAATTGAAATGTTTTGATAAGATATATTGTAATACATCCAAGGTGTGAAAAACTGTTGTATTTGTTTGAAGTATTTTGTGATTTTGTTGAGGATCAACCTGGCATGGTACAAAAAAATGTACACCAATTCAAAGGACACTTATTCATTTGTAAACAAGTATTAAATGGTGTTGTTTTCTTTCTTCTTCTTGCAATATAAGGAAAAATGAGAGATTTCTCTTGTTTGAATTGTTAAAATGCAGATTAATTCATAAAATCACATATCAATTAAAATTTGAAAGATAAATTGTCATGATGTACTTTTTGGCAGTGTTTTCTGGAAGTGTTTGTGGAAATATTATCGCAACTTTATTGTCTTCAAGTACCATGTCATTTAGACATTGGGAGTTCCTAGTTGGTTGAAAGTGAATACTGTTATTCAATAAATAAAATCAAAGTACAATTTGTCCTTGAAAAAAATAACTGGTATGTGGTATTTCAAGAATGTGAAGGAAATTACACAACATAGTTGTAACTAGGTTTTTATTTCTAGTACCATAAAATATTAAGTTCATGTAATGTCTTATATACAGGTCATGCTGTGTGTTCAAATCATGCAGTATTGATGTACATTTCACACAGTGCATTAAGACCATGCTATTATTTGGTATTACACTTGTATTTATTGATTAAGCACCCATTTACTCTATAAATACATCTCAATAAACTGATTTTCTAATCTTCCTTCAAAGCTTGACAATATGTTGATGTTAATTTGCTATGTGTAAGCAAGCTTATTGCGTGATTACAAGCAGTCTTCTGTTGATGCTACAAAAGATGTCCTTGTCCTGTGTCCTCCAGTCACTGTCTCACAATATGTGTAACTTATTGAAATTACATATGCCAATCAAGTTTTCCTTTACCTTTTCTTTCCTTTTAGCAACAAAAATGAGAATTTCTTAAAATGTTAAATAATGTAATCTGCGATGTGATGATTCTTTTAAAAATGTGTAAAGACAACATTTTGTAAAAGTTGCTGATGCTTGATGTTGTAGGATTCCAGAGAAATTTTCACTGCTACAAAACTTGATTACTAATTGATTGAATTGCCTGGATGGTATTAGCATTTATTTTTCCTAATAAATCAACTAGCTAATATCAAGATCATTACTGATACTTTATGATTTTGATATGGTGGCATTTTGTAAACTTAATAACGATATTAATTTATTCTTGGCAATATATTGACTTTTAACTCTGCAACATTTCTAGATTCAGTAGTATGGGGTGGGGGTGTATATTAGAAATTGTATGTGTATTTATATGTTTTAAATAGCCTTTGCTTTTACACTGGTACGTTGATACTTTTTAACATAATAAACAATACATTGTTCTTTTCTGTGTAGATTGTTTTGAAACCAGTGATTATTGAGCATATAATATATTAATATAATCATTTTTTATTTTTTCTCATCAGCTATGCTATCATTGTGGTGTGAAGACTTAGGACGATTATTGTTGTTACGTCACCAGAAGAACAGAACTCCAGATTCCACCAAATCAGGTCCCATGCATGCTCAAATGAAAGCCAACTTGCCTCCTGTCCTCCAAGGTAAATTTCACAAATTCACAGTAGAGGGCGCTATATGAAATACTGCTATTTTGAAAACCTAGGAGCTGTGGTTGTGGATGATGACATCATAAGGGCAATACTGTGTGACGCCATTCCTGTATGTTGGAATACATACAAATCTTTCAAAAAATATAATCTTTATTGATACACTACAGTTTAAAATGATAAAACCTTGTTAACTTGTGATTTTTGGGATCCAAGCAAAAACATGACTTATCAAGAACAGACAGACAGACTAACTTAGACTCACTGCTCTGTCACAAATTAGAGATCAAAATGATGAAATGTTCACATTGCAGTGAGTTTTATAGAGCTTTATCAAACAGTACAGGTCAAGAAACACATAAAGTCATGAGTTAACACCTTGAGCCATGCTGCCAACACCTTTTGCAACCAGGTAATTCACTGGACAAATGGTGTTAAATGCTGATGACATCAAAACAGTATGAAAATCATTGGAAACGACTGTCTCACACCAACTCTTCAACAGCTAATTAAATACATGAAGCAACAAATCTTTAGTTATTTTCTGTCAAGACTATCACAACAAAATACAATAGAAGTTTTTAGGAGTCATTCAATTACTCATGACCTAGTCGATATCGAGATTTAGCGGTCACAGTATTAGCAACCATGACTTAGTCAAGACTTAGCTAGAGGGTCACTGTATTAGCAACCATGACTTAATCAAGACTTAGCTAGAGGGTCACTGTATTAGCAACCATGACTTAATCAAGACTTAGCTAGGGGTCACAGTATTAGCAACCATGACTTAATCAAGACTTAGCTAGGGGGTCACTGGATTAGCAACCATGACTTAATCAAGACTTAGCTAGAGGGTCACTGTATTAGCAACCATGACTTAATCAAGACTTAGCTAGGGGTCACAGTATTAGCAACCATGACTTAATCAAGACTTAGCTAGGGGGTCACTGTATTAGAAACCATGACTTAATCAAGACTTAGCTAGAGGGTCACTGTATTAGAAACCATGACTTAATCAAGACTTAGCTAGGGGTTAC